CACCACCAGACCTGCAGATGTAACCGCGCGCCTCCAGCTCCTCCAGCAGGTCAAACGCAACAGAGCGGCCAACCTGCAGGGCCGCCGCGAACTGCACTTCATTAATAGACTTTAGGGAAGCCGATGATGTCGGGAACGAGGTCTTTTTTGGAACTGAAATCTGCTGCTTCTCAAAATTGCGTGCGTCACGTTGCCTAGGGTTACAGAGAACCGGCCCTAGAATGCGTGAGAGCCGTTCCAGCACCAATGAGGGGTCCTTGTGTTGCAGCGCGAGCCTACCCGAAGAGAGCTTCTTTAACGTGTACCGCGAGTACTGCTGCTTCTCCATCGCACGGCAAGCAAGAAGCACATCAGAAGGAGAGACCAAGTCACTCCCACCACGGGCCTTGTTGTACAAAGAGAAAAGCTCAATAAGCGGGACAAGTGGCATCGTGCCAAATATGCGCTCATTTTTTTCATGCGTCATCCAAGAATGCAATTCCCACGCGAGTTCTTGGTGAAATTGGCCATGTGCTGTGCCATTCGACGACACCCGCACCATTGCACCTAGGCCAAGTGTCGCTTCAATGCCCTCGATGGCAGTGTTGTCTTCGCTCGGGATCCCAGATCCACTGTTTTGCTTCTGTCGCAAGTGGCGGATGTTCGCCACGAGGAAGGAGGCCTTATTCATTACATCGTCAATGTCACGAAGCGCTTCACTCAACTGGCCACTCTCCGCTGAGGCACGCATAAGGCCTGCGATGCCAGCCTTGTCTGTTATGGCGAACACGGAATCGGACCGAGTAGTACTATACTCTTCCATCTCAGTGGCGCTCTGTGGCCACGACGTAGTCATAGCGGACGACACGAAGGCTTGTTTCACCGGTGAGGCCATTGTCATCTGCGAAGGCGCCGTTCGTTGAGAGGAAATATTCGGGTGTGAATCTGCTGTTTCTGTTGAGGACGTCTTTAACGTTGAGTTGGTCGGTAACGCTGGCGCCGATGGTATGGGCTCTCTTGAGTTCACTGAAGACTGTTGCTGTTGTGTTGCATGCTGTCCCGGTATTTTTAGTTGTAGATTTGGTTTCGGTCTCTGTTGAGGTGGAAGAGGCAGTGCGTTCGTTTTGTTTGGCGCCGGTTCAACGGGGTACCGAAGCCACTGTTTCTCCCGCAGCGCCTGCCGCAGCCCCTGAAAGAATTCCTCCATGCCCCCACTACGGAAGGAGAACTTCATGTATCCATTCCCGCCAAGGAGTGGGACGATGATTTTGGCATGCGAGAAACCAAAGCGGGCCTTGCTGTAGATACCGTGGTTGGTGGCGTCAATAGCCTCAAGCGGAAGCTGCAGAACCTGCAGGCCCCCGCCCAGCGGCTGGAAGAACATGTTGTGCGTCGAAAGCGTCAACTTGCCGTCCTGCCAGTGCATGCGCTCCTCACCTTCGTAGAGGCTAACACCACTCTGCGAGCACAGAACGATCTCGTCCCCGCTGACAAGTTTATTGTCGTTGCGCCACTGCCAGAGATTCATTGCCCCCATGACAACAACTCCAGAAAACGCAATGTGTGCCGCGCGAACTCCTCGCTGCGCCCCCTACTCTTTTCTTTTTTTATTTGCCTCACTGTAGATTTCTTTTTCTTGTTTTTTATAGTTTCTCCTTCACGCTTCAGGTGGTAGCAAAAGCTGCAGCCACCACCATGCAAATAAAAAGATTCAGATGAAAAAAACAAACCAAACCAAAATAACCGAAGTCTACGGGGGATACGCCTTTGAAATTGTTTCTCTTCTGTTTCAGCGCCGTGGAACTCGAACTCAGCAAACTCTCTTGTTCGTTTCCATCGTGCATACCACAGAAGCAATACCGCCACCACCACACGAATCCAAAACCACAGACACCCCTGAGCTCCTCCATGAAGGCGTACCATACATGACTGGTCTTCGGCATCCACACCCAATCTTGGAGCATTGTGTACATAACTCAAACGTTGGGACACCTTGAAAGAGAGAGAGAGAGAGAGAGAGAGAGAGAGAGAGAGAGAGAGAGAGAGTGTGTGTGTGTGTATGTCAACGTGAGGCACACATGCAACACCATACACAACCCCCCTGCCCCCCTTCTTTCCTCCCCCACTCACCTCAGATGATGGCATCTGCGTCTAGATGTTCAGCCCAGTTAAGCAACGCTCCTACTGTGTCATCATCGAGAGGCTCTACTGTCGAAGCCCTTGTGGCACTAACTCTCGTAGTCGGATAACTCGTAAAACTTCCAGCTGTGCGTGTAGCACCAGCGCCACTGTCTGACAACTCAGCGGGTGGCAGCGCCGATGACGGCGAGAAATGACCCGAGTGAAAAACGTTAGTCGTGAGGGAAAGAGAGTCTCTATTGAACGTTCTACATATCCCGCCATTACTACTCCGTCTTGGAACATCATATCCCGCATTCGCTAGAGCAGACGTGCCCAGTGGTGCTTCTGTTGTAGCGCCACAACGGCTAGAGGGCTCTACATTTGGCGGAGCCAAGGGTGCCCCGACATCGTATGGGTGGCTCAAGCGCTGGCGGCGCTGCGGTGGTGATGACACATTAGGTGAACGACCTTGTTCCCCATTATCAGACGTAAATGCGACACTAAGACACATCGAACGTGCTGTCCCATCCGCTGTCTGTGGGTACGGGATAGTTGGAGGAAGAACGTCCCACGGCACACTTGGGCAGGGTTGTCCTATGAACGCTACAGCTTTATCGTCCCCCTGCTGCTGTTGCTCTTCTTTTTGGAGTGGCTCAACAATACTTAGAGGTGCCTCTCCATCAGGTACAGATTGACCACTGTATAGCATTTGCAGACGAAGTCTTCGCTCTATTCGTTCCTGCAGCTCCTCTTCGCTAATGCCACCACCCTTGGAGTTCTTCGGCGGTCGACGTTCAGGTAATGGTTGGCCTGCTCGCTGGTACTTCGACTTCGTGTCTAGTGGGGGCCCACACAACAATTCTTTCAGGAGTGGATCTTCCTGTAGAATACTCAAGCAGACCACACCAGAGGGCGTCACACCAGACCCTTCGTCTATCTGTGGAGAGGGTACCACTACTTGGACTGAAGACTCACGCAGCACTTTACCTGTACCAAGCTCAACACGCACAGGGACTGCACGGGCTGCACCAGAGGCGCTCGATTGCAACGCAGAGAGTGGTCGCCTCTGACTTTTGTGCTCACACTTCGTCGTCTCCGGCGGACCCGTAGGCCGTTTGCGACCTGTGCCGCTGACCCCCACACTATTTCGTACTTCTAAGGCGGTGCTATTAAGCCTCGACTGCTGTGCTTCCTCCTGCTCGACAAACACGTCGACGTCTCGTACTGTCGTCATGAAACGCAGCGCCGTTGATGGCTTCGTGTTCCTACTGCGCGGCACCGACGAGGGCGCAGACGGTGTTGTCTCCCCGAAGCTCGAGCGCGTGGAGCCGATGAGTGCATCGCCGAGCGGCGCGTCGTCCACACTGGTGGGGAAGTGGTGGCTGCTGCCCTTGCCCGCGTCGGCGCCCCATATCGGAGTGGAGATGGCAAAATCAACCCCGTCTCCGGCGGCGTCGCGGCGCAGCCGCTCATTCTCCTCGCGAAGGTGCTCGATGACCTTCATGAGCTTGTACTCCTGCCACGGGCCACCGTACATGGCTGTGGGGGGCCGCTGGCGTGATCTGGCTTGCAGCTCACACAAAACTGGAAGAAACACCCCCCCCCC